CCAGTTGCTCTACTTCTATCCTTGTTAGTGGCCTGAGAGGTCAGCAATGTGGATATGGTCCAAATCATTGGGCCCCTGCACCCATGTGGGCGATCAGAGGAAGCACACAGCTTTGGACAGGCTCAGCTCTAACTGTGGCAATCATTCGGGGAGTGAAATCAGTGGATGGAAGATCTCTCTTTCTCTCCCCTACTCTCTCTGTAATTCTTTCATGTAAAACAAATAAATCTTTAAAAAATTAAGTAACATGGCTAATCTCCTAATTTTATGCTCTTTCAATATAAATGAATCATCATAAACTATAAGCACCTCAGTAAACTAGAAACCAAGTTACAATACCATTTATGAATGATAAAAAATTTATATAATCTAATAAATCTTTGCCTGAAAGAATTAAAAATATTATTTTCCAACCTTTTCCAAGATGCATGACCACAAAATATAGTATGCCTGGAGGTTTTTCTATATCTGGTTCCAAAAGCCATGCAATCTACCATTCCTTTGTATATTATCTAAACTGGATTCTTGGATCAGGCCACATCATCCCTGCTTTGGGCATTGTGTCATTTCAGCGCACCCTGATGAAAATAAGAAATTCTAAAAGTTCATTAGCAGCTGCTGGAAGATGCCATCCACATGTGGTCTGTTCTTGTACACAAAGCCCAGGAACCTGGAAACCAAATACCCAGCAGTCACTGGGTCTTGAGACTGCTCCTGCCGACCGCCTCCCATGACTCTGGCTACAGAGACACTCAGGGCCATCATTGCAGAACCTTTTCCAACAAGTGAATGGACTAAGCAATTTGCATTTCCAGACAGATATATCACTGCAGTTTATCGTTCTCAATATCTTTCTTTCCCCTGATTTCTCTTGAACTTATTTTTTTATAAATCGCCCCAAATCTTTTGTGTGAATTAGGGGATAAATACAAAATCTAAAATCCATCACTAAATGAGAATTATCAAAATTTTGCTATACTTTATGCTACTTTAAAAAAGATAAAGCAGGGGCCCAGCACAATAGCGTAGTGGTTAAAGTCCTCGCCTTGCATGCCCAGGATCCTATATGGGCACCAGTTCTAACCCTGGCAGCCCTGCGTCACATCCAGCTCCCTTTTTGTGGCCTGGGAAAGCAGTTGAGGACCCTGCACCCACATGGGAGACCTGAAGGAAGTCCCTGGCTCCTGGCTTAGGATCGACGCAGCACCGGCTGCTGTGGTCACTTGGGGAGTAAAATCATTGGACAGAAGATCTTTCCTCTCTGTTTCTCCTCTTCTCTGTATATCTGACTTTCAAATAAAAATAAATCTTAAAAAAAAAAAAAAAAAGATAAAGCAGGGTTCAGTACTTTAACCTAGCAACTAAGGTTAAAGTCCTCACCTTACACACGCCAGAATCCCAGCACGGGTTCGTATCCCAGCAGCTCCACTTCCCATCCAGCTCCCTGCTTGTGACCTGGGAAAGCAGTTGAGCATGGCCTAAAGCCTTGGGACCCTGCACCCTCATGGGAGACCAGAAAGAGACTCCTGGCTCCTGGCTTCGGATTGGCCCAGCTTCAGCCATTGCAGCCACTTGAGGAGTGAATCAACGGATGGAAGATCTTCCTCTCTGTCTCTCTACCTCTCTGTATATCTGACTTTCCAATAAAAATAAATCTTTAAAACAAAGAAAAGATAAAGTAAATTAATGGAGAGCATTTTAAAAACTTAATTAATTGTATGTCCAGAAAAACCACCATTCTAATATACAATCAAGCCAATCTCCCATAACTTTGCATTTGTGTGTATCACTATACAATACCAACTAAAACTTGGAATAATAACCCAAGGTGCTAAAACAGCCTAGCATTTGGTGCAGAGAGTTAAGCTGCTGTCTGTCATGCTAGCATCTAGATCCGTGGAAAGGCAGCAGATGATTTGAATATTTGGGTTCTTGCCATCCACGTGGGAGACCAACATAAAGCTCTGGTTCTGGTCAGCCATATGGGAGCTAACAGAAGGATAATCCCCTTCAACCTCTGCCTATCAGATAAATAAATAAATCTTAGAAAAGGGTCTGACTATTAAGATGTTTAAATATTTCAAGGTTTTTTTCTAAAAAATTAATAGGCTATTGGGCCGTACCACAGCATGGCATGCTAAGCCTCCATCTGTGGCGCCAGCATTCTATATGGGCACCAGCTGGAGTCCTGGTTGCTCCACTTCTGATACAGCTCCTGGCTAATGACCTTGGAGAGCAACACAGGATGGCCTACATCCTTGGGCACCTGCATCCATGTGGAATACCCAGAAGAAGCTTCTGGCTCCCAGCTTCAGAATGGCCCAGCTCCAGCCGTTGCGGTCACTTGGGAAATGAAACAGCAGGTAAATCTCTCCTTTTGCACATAGCATAATTTTTTTAAAAAAGAGGCTAAAATATCAAAAAGATAATTTTAGACACATTTTAATATAACATTTTTAGTTAATCTCTGGAAAACTCAATTAAATACAACTTTTCATTTTACTGTGAACCAGGTGATCTTAGTAACTGTGACATTCTCTAAGGATCTACTCTGGGCCAATCTCAAAACTCAGAATTTCAACTAGATCAATGTGAATGATTCCAATAGTCTCTATGTTATCTCCCCCAAACTGCCTTTTCATCATCTCAACTAAAACCATGAAATGGGGCTTCACCATCTTTCTCTTCTTCCTCACCACCCACCTTCAGCAATCCCTATCAAAGACCTCAGTGCTGACAATGATACTCCCTTTGCCCAATCCCAATGCCTGGGTCATCACTGTCGCTTCTTTTCCTTTATCTCTGCTACTCTAGAATAACAGCCTAGACCATTTTTTCTTCAGAATGTCTCTCTGTTTGGCACTTTTTCATCTGCACTTCTACTTTCTGTACTTCTTGCCCTGATACACATAATAAGTTGACTGTGTATCATCTCTACTTTGCATATCACTCTATGTTCCACTGTCTCAGAATTGTTTGGAATAAAGTCACTTCATTCACACATGCAGCAACAGCTTCCAGCAACCTGCTGTAACATAGTAATAATCTGAACTTTCAGGTCAATCTAGGGTTTGGGTCCCCATTAATTATCACACATCTCATTACTTTCCCTAAATTGCTATCCACCGCACCACGCCAATAGGTCATTGCCCACTGTGCTGCCAATGTCTCCGCTTATTGTACCTCTCCTTCTCACATCTGGAATGCTTTCCCCCTGCCTTAGACAAACGTCATAATTTTTTGAAAACAAACTTATCCTTTAATTCCATTTTCCATTAACTCCTTTTTAAAAATAATAGGTTTATCTGTTTATTTGAAAGTTGGAATTATAGAGATGGGGAAATACAAAGATTTGTTCTATCCTCTGGTTTGTGCCCCCGATGGCTGAAACATCCAGGGCTGGGCCAGGCCAAGACCAGGAGCCATGAGATTCTTACAGGTTTCCCATGTGAGTGGCCAAGAGCTCAAGCATTTGAGCCATCTTCCAATGCTTTTCCCAGGCAATTAGCAAGGAGCTGGGCTGAAAGTGGAACAGCTGGGACAAGAACCTGTGCTGGTATGGGATACCTATGTCACAGACAACAGCTTTACAAGCTGCGCCATAATAGCAGCCCCTAGATATCAATAATTCACCAGCATATGGATCATTCATCTCAACATGAAGGTTTCTGTTTATTAGATCTCAGATGAACCTTGTTCCTGACTTCCTTCTATATTCATGATCAGTATCAAAATGCTCAAACATTAAGTATGATTTCCTAATTGTCTCATGAGTATGCTTGCCAAAATGGTCTTGTGCATTCCCATGGTATTAATTGCAAACTATAAGCTGACCCTTACGTCTGAATCTCTATACTCATTCTCTTCACCAAACGTCATCATCATACCTTCAGCTGCCTACCTGACAGTGCCCCAGGGCATCTTAGACTTAACATATCAAACACAACTGAGGATTTTACCAAAGTGATACACTCTGCCTCTCCAGTCCGGCTCACTGCAGCACCACCCACTTCTCCCAAGTCCCAAATCCACAGGTAATTCCTAATTCTTCTTTCTTCCTCACACCCCTCTTCAATCCATAGATGTTCTGAGCTCCACGAACAGCCAAACTGAAACAAATTTTTCATTATCACCCGAGTCCACATTACAATCATCACCTCTAGCTGTACTTCTCTAAGAGTATTCTATATGAAGCGTCTATTTCTACTCTTCCTCTCATTCACACCATTCTTTACAGAGCAGCCAGGATGATTTACCCAAAACCAAAATCCAATACATCACTCTCCAACTTAAAAGCTTCCCAATGGCTTTCTACCACATTCGATTAAGGTAATTGTAGCCTAGAATGCCTAAGCAACCTGCCTCATTCCTACTCTGCACACCTCAGCTTCTCTCAGCCTATCAGCTGCCCACAGTGCTGAAGCATCAGTGGCTTGCTTGCCACCTCTTAACAGATGGAAGGGCTTCTCCACTGACTACAGCTACCTTGTTCTTTACCCACACAATACCCTTCACATAACTACTTCCCTTCTCTTAGGTCTCTGTTCAGAGGTTCCCTCTCACAGAGGTGCCTAACCACCACAGGCAGTCACTCTCTTTCTCATCACCTAGTCTTTATGTACAGTGTAGAAATAAGTTCTTCTAGGACAGGTTTCAGATAATACTTTTTATCTTTCCCATGGTCGTTTGCCTACTATAATCCCAGGCATGTAAGGACACCAACAAATACTTAGTGATCAACTTATAAAAAGGAGTACCTGTGCTGTACAAAATCAAATTTCTTTATAAATTCTGGCATAAATTTGGAGAAACTGCAAAAGAATTTATGAAACTACAAAAGTTGATGACATGATCACTGCTGTTTAATATCAGTTCAGAACATGATTCTTGACCTGAATAAATTTTCCTAAACAAATCAGATTTTTTACTGCAACCATTTAATGTCATTAAAATGATCACCACTAGACCAACTACTCTAATGAAACAAACTAAAGTCTTACTTAATGTTGTAACGTCCAGTTTTCAGTGTACATCTATCAGGAAGTTGAGCAAGTTTCCTTGATAGCATCTTAAAATACTTTCTGCACTCCTGCATTCCAGTGCTTTGTTCATAATCAGTGGAAGCAGAAAGTGGCAGTCCATCTCTGACACGGATGACTGAGGCGGATAAAATCAAAGACATTTCAACCAATACAGAAGACCTAAAGGAAAATGAAAAATTGAGGTTAGGTTAATAAAGCAAAGTTAACATGCAGAAATATTGAACTTACTAGTAACAAAAACAATTAAAACAATAACACTATGCTTCACCTAACAAATTAGCTTTACCAAAAAAAAAAAAAAAACACTTTTTTTGTCTGTTAAAGTAAAAACTGGAATCAACACCATTCTCAAATCAAGTTGGCAGGAGGCAACAATAATGTTAAAACATTCACATCCTTTGACCTCAGTAAAGGTTGACATACAACCATACCCTGAGGAATGTATCAGAGAACCACACAAAATTTTAAACAGAAAGACATTCTTTCAGTTAAATAACTAAAAAACAACCTAAAGATCCCAGAACAGGGTGATATTAATAACAGTATTCTCAAATGACAGAATAAACACAGCAACTATAATTTATGTTTGTGAAATAAAAAATTTCATAATGTGGCAAAGTGCTTAGATGTTAAGTAGAAACAAGCAGGATTAAAAACTGTATACTTTTTCCCCCACAAAGATAAAGGGAGTGAGGGGGCCACTTACGACAACAGTTATGCTGCTGCTTAGGACACCCACATCCCATACCACGGCGCCTGGTTCAAGTCCCGGCTCCTCCACTTCCTTTCCAGCTTCCCACTACTGCACAGGCTGGGAACAGCGGACAATGATTCAGCTGCTTGGCTCCCTGCTACCCATCTGAGCTCCAGATCCAAGCTGAGTTCCAGGCTCCTGGTTCCTGCCTGGCCCTATCCTAGCTGTTGCAGGCAGCTGGGGAATGAACCAGCCCATGGGAAGATCTGAGTTTCTGTCTCTGTCTTTCAAATGAGTGAAAATACATAACAATTTTAAAACAGGAGGGATAACTAAAATAAATAAATGCAGAAAAAAATGCCAAAATCAGAATAGTGACTATAACAGGGAAGAGTACAATGATGGATTATTTCACAATTTCCTAAATGTTCAAAATATTCCATAGTGGGCCCTCATAACTTTAGAATCATAAAAAAATTATAATTAAAGGAAATCCCAAAGCTAAACAATACTAGTTTAATTCTTAATCTTTTCACCAGAAAATAAGTCATAACGCCTTTGGCCAGCCTCTTTTATTGGATATTGGTCAGACTTTAAAAAAAGTAAGTGGAAGGTATTTTACAGACCTGTATCTGAAAGAAATCAGGTAAGCACAGGTATTTGCAATATTGGTTAAAATGCCATTGGGAATGCCTACATTCCACAGCAGAGTTCCTGGTTCAAGTCTCAGCTCCTTAACTTCTGATCTAGCTCCCTACTAACACACATCTTGGCAGGCTGTAGTTGAAAGCTCAATACTTGGGTCCATGTCACCCCTGACAGAGAACTGGACTGAGTTCCTGGCTCCTGATTTGGGTTCAGTTCAGCCCTGCTGTTACAGCCATTTGAGGACTAAATCAATGTGTCTCTCCACCTTTCACCCAAAGTAAAACTAAAAATCTGTAAAAACAAAACTCTATGTTAGAGTCTTTAAAAATAAATAATAATTTAAAAAAAGGCCAGGGGTGGGGGAGAGTGTGGTACAGTAGCCTAGTGGCTGATGTCCTCGCTTTGCTTGTGTCAGGATCCCATATGAGAATCAATTCACATCCCAGTTGCTCCACTTCCTTTCCAGCTCACTGCTTCTGGCCTGAGAAAGCAGCAGAGGATGGCCCAAAGCCTTGGGAGCTTGTATCCACATGGGAGACCTGGAGGAGGCTCCTGGTTCCTGGCTTCTGGCTTTGGCTCCAGCCACTGTGGCTATTTGGGGAGTGAACCAGCAAATGGAAGATCTTTCTGTCTCTCCCTCTCTGTAAAAATTTGACTTTCCAATAAAAAATAAATAAATCTTTGTTTGAAAAAAGGAAAAGGAATCAGGTAAGCAGACAGAAACAAAGCAAAATAGTTCTCAAACTTTAGCTTACACAAAAAGCTGAAAGCTTGTTTAGCAATGTAGACTTCTGGGGCTAATACTGCTACACAGCCAAGTTAAGCCACCATTATTTATTTATTTATTTAACAGGTTTACTTTTGAGAGGCAGACTTTTTTTTAACACACAGAGAGAGCTTCCATCCACTGATTTGCTCTCCAAAAGGCCACAATGGCCAGAGCCATCTGAACCTCTGAGCTAGAGCTTCTTCTGGACCTCCCACATGGGTGCAGGGACCCATGGCCCAGGCCCATCTTCTGCTGCTTTCTCAGGCCATAAGCAGAGAGCTGGATCAGAAGTGGAGCAGCCAGGAAATGAACTGGTGCCTATATAGGGTGCTGGCCCCAAGCTGTCATTTTTTTGACACCAGCATCCTATATGGCAGAGCTGACTTGAGTCCCTAGCAGTCTGTTTCCAATCCAGCTTCCTGATAACAACCCTGGGAAGGCAGTACAAGATGGCTGGGCCCTTGTCACCCATGTCAGAGATCAGGATGGAGTGCATCGTTCTTGGCTTTGGCCTGGACTAGCCTTTGCTGCTGAAGCCACTTGGGAGAGTAAGCCAACCAATGAAATATCTCTTTCCCTCTGTCACTACTCCATTGCTCTGCTTTCAAATAAAAAAGCAAGCTGTAAACAGAAAGAAATAAATGTAGATTTCTTGGGCAGCTGATAGGGGTTAAGCAGCTTCCTGTGAACCTGCTTCCATATTAGAATTCCAGGTTGATCTCCAGATCTTTCACTTCCAATCCAGCTTCTTTGTGTCTGGGAGAAACAGGTAATAGCTCAAATATTTGGGTTCCTACTGCCCAAGTGGAAGACCTGAATGGAGACTATGGCTCCTAGTTTCATCATGGCCTTACGCCGGCTGCCAAGGCCATCTGGAAAGTGAAAAGGTAGATGGAAGATTTCTCCTTCTCTTTTCCCCTTTCTCTTTCAAATATATAAATGTAGCCTTGTGGACTCAGCTTGCCAATTTCTTTTTAAGGCAAAGATTCAGAAAAACAACTTTCCACTGGTTCAGTTCTCCCAACACCCACCATAGTCAAAGTTGGGTCAGGCTGAGGTCAGGAGCCTCAAATACAATCTGGATTTTCCAAAGTAGGTGATAGGAACCTAATCACCTAAGCCATCACCTGCTGCCTCCACGGGAAAGTTAGAACCACAAGTGGACTGGGATGCAAATCCAAGCATTCCCATATGGGATGCAGGCCTCCCAATTGATGTCTTAACAGATAGACCAAACACCTATCCCATTATTAAAATTTTAACATCTGGCCTAAAGAAGCAGGAAAATGCCTTAGTTTATACTCTAAGCATTTATTATGGAAATATAAAATTACTGTTTTCCAGTATGCTGCTACATAATGACCATTTGGGGAATTAATGTGGGGGCAAGCTATCACTTATAGCTCCAACTATCTGTTTTACAGTATTCAAACGCAGACTGCATTCTTTTTTTTTTTTTAATGGCTCACCCTTTTAAGGGTCCTAAAAGAATTAAGTTGAAACTTCCATGTAGTCTTCTAAGTTATCATTTTCTTTTTAATGACTCAGAAGACAAAACACATGATTCAGAACCAGGCACCATGCTACCCTGGGTTAAGCAGCACCTTAACATACATACTTCCCACATTGTCCCACTAGTTCAATCCTGGCTAGTCCACTTCCACTCCAGCTTTCTGCTAATATATCCAGGGAGACAGCAGATGACAGCTTATGTGCTGGAGCCCTTTCATCCACATGTGAGACCCTGATGGAGTTCTGGGCTCCCGGCTTCCCAGCCCTGGCTGCTGTCAGCATTGCCACAGTGAACCAGTAAATGCAGGACCTCTCTCTCTTCTCTGTCACTACTCTGCCTTTCGAGTAGATGAAAACAAATAAATATTTTTTAAAAAGAGAGAGAGAGACAACTCACACTGCCTAAAACATACTGAGAAAAGAACACCACTTTAAAGCTCCATTCACTCAACATTGCCTATCTACTATATCCACTATCTACTAGTATACATTTGTATACCTGTATACAAACTAGAGAAATTCAAATGAAAAGAACAAACACAATACAAGCTACAGGGCCTATTCCTTTTCTAATTAGAAAGTTACAGTTAGATAAACTTGCTTTTCCAATATTCCCAAAACACAGTTTCAGTTTATAATCCAAAGCACAACACAGCAATTATGTTCCCAGTCAAAAAACTTATAAAGGTTGTCAGTGGACTATTTCTACTAACAACGGACAAGAGTTTTCGGAGGAGAAAAAGTTAAGTCTCTTCCAGAGTAATGAGATTTCAAATCCAAATCAGTTGAACCTAATAAACAAAAGAAGTTAGGATGAATGCCCAGAAAATAATGCCAGCCTTAACCAATTTGCAGACAAATTCAATCTCTTTAGATTAATATACTCCCCTTTTTTAAAAAAATTTTTATCTTGGATTTTTAATGTAACGTGTGTGTGTATGTATACATATGTATGTGTGTGTGTGTATATATAAGAGTTTATATCTATATATAAACTTTATCTGGACTGTGCTAGTGCAGGAAAAAAATGTTTCCACATCAAGGTCAGGCAAAGGAAAAATACCACTGAGTACAGGCAGGCTCATGATTATGAAAACCACAGAGGCAGTGGGACTGTGGAAAGTCAGAGGTTATAATTGCATGGAAAGATCCAGAAGCAGTAGTTTCCAATGTACAAGGGCCACAGACACATTTCTAGGCCACCAGTTCCACGTCTCCTCACCCTAAAGCTGCCTTTAAAACAGGAAGCTCAAAGGTAATCCTAGCAGTGGCCTATACTTCCTTTCCTTCACAGCAACTGTCCGGGGGGGGGGAAGGGAAAGTGGAGTCCATGAATCATTTACTCAGGCCTTGCCACAACGACCACAGGTAGGACTCCAAATTCACCATCTAAAGCAAGTTTATTTTTAAGTCGATCATTTTGTATAGTCTGTGAATGACATTATAAATAACCAAGTGGTCCTTGGTGGAAAAATTGGTTCCCTATGCCTGGATAAGAGGAAAAACTCCAAATTACAATCTAGGTATTCCTGTGTAAGCCTTCAGAATTAGCCACTAGGACCTGGCGGTGTGGCCTAGTGGCTAAAGTCCTCGCCTTGAATGCACCAGGATCCCATATGGGCGCTGGTTCTATCCCGGCGGCCCCTCTTCCCATTTAGCTTCCTGCTTGTGGCCTGGGAAGACATTTGAGGACGGCCCAAAGCTTTGGGACCCTGCACCCACATGGGAGACCCAGAAGTTCCGAGTTCCCGGCTTCAGATTGGCGCAGCACCGGCAGTTGCGGTCACTTGGGGAGTGAATCATTGGACGGAAGATCTTCCTGTCTCTTCTCCTCTGTGTATATCTCACTTTGTAATTAAAAAAAAAAATTAGCCACTAAATAAATATCCATGATATCAAACTGTCACAGAGATGGCCAGCCACAACAGGCCACTTTCTTTTCAGACCCTGTGGGGTAATGACTGTGGCCCCAGATATCAGGAAGACATCTCTCAAAAAGTAATAAAAGCTCAACATGTAAATACACTTTATGTGTACTTTCCAGTTAAATGTTTTTATAAATGCCTCTCCTCAAAAGATAAAAAATGTATCCATTGGAGTCCATCATGTAAGTACTACTTTCACAAAGCTTATCTACAACCTCTGTGAACTTGTTGTTCTATTTACCCATAAGTTTTTTTTTTTAAGATTTATTTTTATTATTTTTTCATTGGAAAGGCGGATATACAGAGAGGAGAGACAGAGAGGAAGATCTTCCATCCGATGATTCACTCCCCAAGTGAGCGCAACGGGCCGATACTATGCCGATCCAAAGCCAGGAGCCTCTTCTGGGTCTCCCACACGGGTGCAGGTTCCCAAAGCTTTGGGCCGTCCTCGACTGCTTTCCCAGGCCACAGGCAGGGAGCTGGAAGGGAAGCGGGGCTGCCGGGATTAGAACCGGCGCCCATATGGGATCCCGGGCGTGCAAGGTGAGGACCTTTAACCACTTGCGCCACCACGCTGGGCCCTACCCATAAGTTTTTTTGCCTGGTATCCGTTCATAATAATGTCTATAAAATCAACTGTGAAGGTTAAGATTTAAGCTTTTTCCTAGTCTAAAATAAATGAAAAACGTTTCTGTTTTGCTTCACAAGCGCATGTGCACACTTCCGGCAAATCATTATTTTTAGATGTTCATCTGCTTATCCAATCATCTTACATATGCTTCACACCAAAATGTAAGTAAAACAAGCTGTTACATATTTTATTAAAAGTGCTGAAAACTGTGGAAATGGGAAAGGGGTTAATTTAGGGATCAGCTCCGTATACTGTGATTTACCTGGTGGGGCAGACTAAGAAGGGAAACAGGTACCAAGCATAACCAGCATTTACTCTTTGTCCCTGCTGTGTCCCTAGCCTCACTAGAAGTCTAACACTCCTAATATGGGTGCCTGCACTGCACAGCACGTACAAGACCTCAGGCTCCAAAACAGATGACACCCACATCTAGCAATAGGGCATCCAGCACAGGCTCAAATGTGCCCATTTCCGACATCTGTGCAGTCACAGTTCAAGTCAGATGGGTATAACCTCCAACTCACACGTGGAGGTTGAAGTTTTTCCAAACATCACAAGGCTAACTAGTAGTACTGTATAAGGATGGATGTGCCAGAACTGGCACATAATACAAGCGTCTTCCATGTCACTGTGCCCTACCAGTCCCCAAAACTAACCAGGGCGGAAACCTGTGACGTAGACACTACCTAGTTGTCCATTCTGAAATAATACGGTTTGATTGTTAAGAGGTAGTTAAGTATGACAACTAAAAGGTCGGACACAGGAGCCAGACTGCCTGGGTTAAATGCTGGCTCCACCAAGTGCCAGCCATGCAACCTTGGGCAGGCTCTGCCTCAACCTCCTCACCTACGAGTGGTATTTACCACACAAGTTCAGATAAAGCACCTGAAATACACTCAAAGTGCTATATTAAGTATCTGTTCTAATTTACTGATTACCCTCTATGATATATGTTATATATACATGTTATATATAATGTATATATTATACAATGTGTGCATAGCACACACATCACCTCATTTAAGCCTTCCAATAACTTGTGAGGTAGATAATTAATTCCATTTTGCCTTTCAGGGAATTCAAAGTCAGAACTGGTCTAAGGAATTCATTCAATTCCCAAAAGAGCAAGTGACAACGCAGAGATTTAACCTAGGCCTAACTAACAATTCTACAAAATGCTGCCTGCCCACTGCCTCATAACACGAGGAGGAGGTGATCGCGGGCACCTTGGAGAGAACCCGTTTTTCTTTCATATACCATCATGAGATATACAGGGATACCAGTCACCTAGTAAACAGATGTGACAGCTCCCAATACAGGAAATGTCCAGATGTTCCATTAACAAAGGGCATGTTCAGAGGTTTCAGATTGAAATAGTGCACACCACCACACTGGAATCTGTAGGTACAGTTAAAAGTACTGCCTACTTCCTGGCAATCTGAGATAGTGCCCAAGTATCAGTAACGTGGAATGCAACACAGAGAATTTCACAGAGGTTGTTCCACTGTCAGCTGGTGTCTCACTATCTCCAGTCTGGTGGCTGATACTTCAGCTCTGGGCTGGGCTTTGCCTACATTGAACAGGCTCCGCAGAGGCAGGTCCTGAGGTCCTCCATCTGCTCCACGTGCATGATGGGCTAGAAACAATCACGGCAGCAACAGTCTCAAAGTTGTTTTCACAGGTGAGAAACTCCAGCCAGCTGGGGATCGGCTTTCTCTTCCCCCCAATCTCATCCACTTGTTGAGCCAGTTGCTCGCAGGCTTTCTGCCTCATCGCTCCCCAAGTGCTATTCACCTGGGCCTCGGGGTTTCCGCGTGCCAACGCAGACAATCTCTGAGCTCAGGAACTCACCCCAAACCTCACACATCACCAAGTGAGCTGTTCTGCCTCAAAGAAATAGGAAACGTCACCTCCGGATCTCACGGGTGACGCCAAAGGCCTAGGTGGATTACCATATTTATGACGTCTGGGCGCCAGGGAGTTCCCACCGCCGCCCGCTCTGCAGCCCGGCGCGGCTGACCCTCGCCTTCCACCATGCCCACCCCAACCCGAAGCAGGTCGGCCGAGGGGGCAACCGTCGCCCGCGAGGCCCCCCAGACCTCTCAGGTCCAAGGGGCCCCTGTCCTCTCACGCCGGACCCCGGGGAGCTCCGCGGCCCCAGCACCGCCCGGCTCCACCCCACGGCACGGGCAGGGCTCCTGGCCCAGCGGCAGGTTTGTGGTCGCGACCAAGAGGGCTGAGGCGGGGAGAGTGAAGGGCGTTGTCAGCACGAAGGGTGCTCGAGCAACCCCGAGCAGACGAGAAACAGACTGAGGGGCCGGGCCGTACCTGCCGAGCCGGGAGCCGCCGCTCCAAGTGACGCGCCGCGCAGTGCATTGTGGGCGCCCAGGAGCGGCCTTTCAGCCGGGCTGCCCCGCGTCCAACGTGGCTGGCGCCGGCGGAACCAAACCCCGCCCCGTTCCCTCGGCCCGGCCAATCGGGTTCTGTGGGAAGCACTCACTGGCCCGCCCCCTCCAGGGCAGATTGACAGTTTCTCACGCACCTGCGCCAGGAGATTCCCATCGTTCTGTGGGGACCGAGCTAGGTTGTCCCTTAAGAATAAAGTTAATCGCCACATTTTCTGTCAACACTTATCCAAGGGGCAGAGGGAAAGATTCCCTCACAGTAGGGAAGGAAAGGACCTGCAGCCGATTGGCACCACCAGGGAGAAGCAAACCATCTGCGCCGGCAGGTTCTAGAGCTGGCCCTGCGGCTTCTCAGCCACCACGCACTGTTAACCCAGCATTCCCTCAGTGTTCACCGGGTCGCCAGCACAGTGTGGGGCATCAGATCTCAGAAGGGAACCGCCTCACACTTGATGGGATTTGAGATGTAATCCTATTGCATGGAAATTGGGAAGATGAGAGTCCAGCTTGGGAAGCTGCTAGTGTTGGTGACGATTTGTGAGACCGGACACAATTGTTGAAAAGAAGCGAGGCTTTATTTAAGTTAAAAAGAAAAATATCCACTGGCTGGTGTCATGGTGTAGTACGCTAAGCCTCCGCCTATGGCACCAGCAACCCATATGAGCACCAGCTCTAGTCTCGGTTGCTCCTCTTCCCATCTAGCTTCCTGCTAATGCCCTGCACCTACATTTGAAACTCCTAAGAGGCTCCTGGTTTGGGATTGGGCTGTTGTGGCCTTTTGAGGCATGAGCCAGAAGATGCAAGATCTTTGTCTCTCCTAATTGCCTTTCAAATAAAAATAAAACAATTTTTAAAAAGAAAATAAAAAGAAAAGTAAGAGCTCCAGATAATATGGCCAGCGCGACTGACAGACCAAGCCTTGAAGTCTGGCAGTCTGGGGGTATTTATGTCTTTACCATCTGATCTCCAAGCAACAATGGAAGAGTTTACACATTCGTTACTGGAAAGAGAGATGGGCATGAAGACAATGGAGCCTTTTCTAGCTTGTATGTATTGCAATCTAGAGCCTGTCATAGAAGCCTAGATCCTGACATTGAGAAGTGCTTGTTACACAGGACTTCTATCTTGTTTCATTTAGTATAAGCCTGCTGCCAAGCAGCAGCAGTATTGCTCGCAAAGAGCTGTAGGTGGAGTTAATCTGGCTCGCTCTTACTCCAGGCTCCTGAAGTCAGAGACTTTAGTAAGTCTTTGCCATATAGATCGTGATCAATACTATAAAGGAAAATTGGTGGGTGCAGTGATGAATGATGCTTTAGAAAAGACCTCTGAATAAGCACCTTTCAGATTCCAGGCATATTAAAGGGCCAAAAAGAATGTTCCAGGCCAAGGGAAAACACAATGGGTTAAGTGTTGGGGTTTGCAAAACTTGGAGGATTCTGGGAATAAAAGGAAATTGGTGTGGCTGGAGTGCAGAGAGCAGAGAGAAGCCAGGTTGAGATGGGGCAAGGGCCAAAGTGCTCTAGCTTTTACCAGCCACTTGATAGATTTCAGACTGTAACTGAAGGGTTAAAGGGCAGCTAATAAAGATGGTTGCATGGGATCTGATTTACATATTTAAAAGCTCACTTAGGCTGTTTGTGAAGAATAGAGTGGAAGAGAGCAAGAAAGGTTGCTGAGAGGTCAGTTTGGAGGCGATTGCATTCGTTCACACCAGAAATCATGGGGGCTTGAACCTGGGTGATAGCAGTAGAGGTAGAGAGAGATGGATAATTGCAAGATACAAATACATCAAAAAGTAAAGAGCTTATGGACTGGTTTCCGGGAAGAACAAAGAATTGAAGAGCAGTAAAAATTGTTCCTTAACAAGATGGATGAAGAAGCCATTCTTTGATGCAAGGAACATAGAAGGAAAAGCAAATTATTTGGAGTATGTTACATTTGAGCTGCTATTAATAGAGATGTCAGATTTTGAAATGTAAGTCTAGAGTTCAGGAGAAAGGTCTGGACTAATTCTATAAATTTGGTGGTTATTGGAGTGAATTAAGCCAGACAGTTTTCCTTGACATATATTCAACAGATATGCTCACCAAAGCACATGTATGATAATATTCGTAGAATGAACACATTTTAGGATATTCATGTAGCATACTATCCAAGGGAAAGCAAATGAACAACTTGTCATTTTACACAAAGCATAGATAGATTTTAGAATAAAATACTGAAGCACATCAGACAAAACATGCACTGTATGTGATTCCACTTAATTTAACATCATCTAATACTCCACTTACATAATGTTCAAAATCAAAAATAATGGGTGATAACATAAGTGAAGGTATTGATTATCCCGTAGGTAGTATTAATGTTTGAAAAAGAAGCACTCAGGGGATTCTGGAGTTCTAACAATGTCTATTTGGCATTGATTACATAATGTGTTCAATGCAAGTTTTCTGTATGTATTTTTTTATTCAAGAGAAAGTTTACATTTTTAAAATGTGATGGATGATCTAGCCATGAGTAACCAACTGGTAACAGACCAAACTTCCTGTCACAAGTGATAGAAAACCAGACAATATCTCTGAAACAAGAACTTCCAATCTCTGGACAATAAGCAAGGTAAGTTGTGATCCTTGCAGTAAGGAAACCAAGCAAATCAGTCTAAAATTTTCCATAAATTTCTTCTTGGAGTTATTTACATGAGAACAAGATGGACACAAGCCTGTGTGTGTGTGTGTGTGTGTGTGTGTGTGTGTGTGTGTGTGTTAGAGAAAGAGATAGAAACTGTGATGTAACAATGAAGCAAGCCTTAGAAGCAAACCAGTTTCTTCATTTAAAAGTCTTGCTGTTGCTTAGTAACATGGTTGGGTGGATCCCAGCCCTGGGCAGATGCCAGGTGGGGACAGCCTAGGAGAATCTTACTTTCCCTTCATCTCAGAGGGGACTTCTATGAAATTCTGGGAGGAGTTCCATACCAAGGAGGTCCTCCATCCAGCAATATTCCAGAAAGGATATAGAGAAGAAAGGTGCACACAGGTATCCACATGAACTCCCAGTCCTTCACTAAGAGGCCCACCTGCTCTGTCAGATGTACTGTCTTCATCACTTCTCTTCATTAAACTTTGCTGGCATGCTGATCATTGCATTCTGTCTCAAGTCTGAATTCTTCCTTGTGGAAAGACAAGAATTCTAAACAACCAATCTCTGGTAGCAGAGCATAACATGCTCAACAACTGAAAAGCCAGAGATCAGAATAAAGAGAAACTAAAACAGCTAGACAACTAATATTTGCAAGGCAGACTAGCAGAGAAAGCAACCCAGAAATAGACATAAGAGTTTGCTTGAATCTTTGGGTTTGAGGATGGATTCTGTGAGTCTGATAGAGAACAACTATTGGATAAAGTTAAGCTGAACAACTACTAGATTTGAATAGTTCGGAAACAACTCATTTTCTGACTAAGTGGACTCAATAAATCTGTTAAAAACCTGTGGTTTTTGATAAGAAATCCCAGAAATGCTGTTCTCCCAAAATGAAGCTAAGGGACAGGTGTAGTGGCACAGCAAGTTAAGCTACTGCTTGGGATGCCTACATTCTGTATTGGAGCACCTGGTTCCAAGTCCCAAGCACTTTATGCTTCTGCTCCAGTCTCCTGCTGATGTATCTGGCAGACAGCAGATGAGCTGAAATACTTGAGTTCCTCTCATCCATGTGGTAGACCAGGATTGAGCTCCAGATTTCTGATTTTAGGCTGGCCTAGCCCTGACTGTTGCTGGCATTTGGAGAGCGAACTAGTGATAGAGGACTTCTTCCTCTTCTCCCCTCTTTGTTATAAAGCAATAAAACAAATTTTAAAATATTCTAATACTAAGGATATATTTACTCAAAGTTGAAGTTGATACACTCGTAAGTTAACTGTTTATTTCAGTGAAACCTCACAATCTTTAAAGAAAGAAAACAAAATTCAAGTACTCAAGTGTGTAATACACACAATGTCTAATAGTCAATCAAAAATTATTACACACATGAAGAAACAGGACAAAAGTCAGTCTATAGAAACAGTCATAAATTACAAAGATGATGCAATTAGATTTAAACCATATAAAGACTTTAAACTATTATTAATAGGGCCAAGCATAAAGGAACATAACAATTAAGTGAGAAATGAAAGTCATACCAAACAACAAATCAAACTTCAAAAATATAACACCTAAAGGAAAAGCAACAGTATGGGAATTAACAGATTAGGATCGCTAAAGGAAAGAGCAGCATATAAATAAAACAGCTAAACAATTATCTACGTGAAAGTCAAACAGAAGAAAAGTGGAAAAGAAAATAAACAAAACCCTGGTGACCTATGGGTCAATACAAAGTTATCTGCAATGTGTGTATAAAAAGTCCTAAAAGAGAGGGGAAGAGATAACAAATATTTGAGAATGGCTAAAATGTTTCTAAATTTGGTAAATCATAATGAACTGCAAATAAACAAGCTAACCTTTGGCACAATGAACATAAAGAAACCCACATTCAGACTTATTACATTCAAACTGTTGATATTGGTAATTGAAAGAAAATGTTGGGAACAACCAGAGAAACATAGAAGCCACGTTGCATACAGGGAACAAAGGTAAGAGATAGCACTGACTTCACACTTCACCTCAGAGAGAATGCAAGCCCGAACACATGTAACAAAATCCTTTAACTTTCAACCTCAAATTCTATATCTAGCAAAAATTCTGTCCAAAAACTAGAAATAAAGGCATTTTTAAACAACTGAGCAGTAATAGAATGCTAGTTCACCTAGATAATAAGCGTAATAAATGTTAAAATTCTTCAAGTTAAATGAAAACGATTCCATATGGAAACTTGAAATCAAACAGGAACAAAAAGCACCAGAAATGGTGAGCAAGTGAAATCATATATTCTTTTCCCTTTTAAGAATTTTCAAATATAAG